ACTCTTGCCAAAGGACCAAAGTTGGCAGTGTTAGCATAAAATAGACAAGGTTAACAAATGTGTCTGGAAAAACAAATTTGGATGTCCTGTTCTTTTGTTTGTTCTTTTCCCAGTGTGTTAAAGCAGAAATGAACATGTTTGACTTCCATCTTCTTTCCTTTTTTCCATCTTTATCAGATGGCCAGGTCATTCCACTGGTGGAGTTATCAGCGAAGCAGGTAGCGTTTCATATCCCATTTGAGGTGGTGGAGAAAGTTTATCCTCCCGTTCCAGAACAACTTCAACTACGCATTGCCTATTGGAGCTTCCCTGAAAATGAGGAAGACATCAGGTGAGCTTGTTGGTAATTTAGAACCAAATCTTCACACATTTGAAGAGAAAGTTACTAAAAAAAATAACAGGTTTTTATGAATGTTTTTTTTGTTTTTTTTTGTTTTGCTCTCGTATAAAAAATTCTGGACAGGGCGGTCGGAGAAAATGTACTCCCCTGTCGTCTCTTCTTTCACTCATCTTCAACTGTGTACTTTTGTTTTTCCATCTGCTTTAGGTTATATTCTTGCCTGGCCAATGGGAGTCCTGATGAATTTCAACGCGGAGAGCAACTTTACAGGATTAGAGCTGTCAAAGACCCACTCCAAATCGGCAAGTGGCCTTGCAAAAAAAAAAAGATCATTTCTGAATGTGTTGCAGATTGACAAACCTTAGTTTCCTTACTGGATTATATCAATTGAATTGCATCATTTGCACCATTTTCTAATCCGAAAGAAAACCCCAAAAATATTTTGAATTGATTAAAGTGGTTTAAGATAAACTAAACCTAGTCACTAAACCTAGTCCAGCTGGATTTCAGGATTTTCTTCATTCTCTGTAAAAAAACACATGCACTGATGTTGCTTTATATTTGTCTGTACATTTTTCCGAATAACATTTTTTTTTTTTTTGGCCAGGCTTCCATGTCAGTGCCACAGTTGTGTCCAGTCAGGCTGGTCAGTCTAAAGGAGCCTACAACGTGGCAGTTATGTTTGATCGGTGTCGTATAACTTCCTGTAGCTGCACCTGTGGAGCAGGAGCCAAATGGTGTGCACACGTGGTAGCCCTGTGTCTCTTTAGGATCCACAATGTACGTATTCGTTTACTTTTATTGAAATGTTAGGGTTTTGTAATCAAATTAAAGGTTGAGATTGGTGGAGGGAAAAAAAAAAAAGATTGGGAGCCTGGATTGATTTCCTAGTAGTGGAGTTCTTCTTTAACACTTCTTTTCTATTACAAATTGATAAGAATATACACAAAAAGTATAATTAGTGAAATATAATAATGATAGTTTCAGTTTACTAACCGTTCGAAACTTGGATCTTTATAGGTAAACATAACACTGATATACTTGCAGGAATTAAAGAAAAAAACACTTGAACATTTCCAGTGCGAAAAAAAAAAAAGTGCGACTTACAGGAGTAGAAGATACTGGTACACAAGCCTAGAGTGCCCTCTAGTGGCTGTCAGTGTGAAAATAACAGACAGGTGAAATTATATATTTTAATATATAATTTTTTTTTTTTTGTTTTGTATATCCATCTGCTGCCACCTAGTAGAGTACCATATTTTCCGGACTATATGGCACTCCGGAGTTTAAGTCACACCAGCCACGGGATGAAAAAAAGTGCGACTTACAGGAGTAGAAGATACTGGTACACAAGCCTAGAGTGCCCTCTAGTGGCTGTCAGTGTGAAAATAACAGACAGATGAAATTATATATTTGAATATATAAGTCGCACCCGAGTATAAGTCGCAAACCAAGCCAAAGTATGTAAAAAAAAAAAAGTGCGACTTATTGTCCAGAAAATACGGTATTCAATGATTCGGTCTGTCACTGTGTTAGACACAATAATTTTCAGACCAAAATTGAAAAGTGAAATGACATCAATTTTCCATAGCACACCCGATGATCTGCTTCAGTGGTTGGGAATAACTATTATTGCCATTCTGTAACATTGTTTTGTTGGTATCCTTATTTTAATATAATATATTTAATATATATAATATATTTAATATTTAATATATTACGAGTAGTAAACATTTTTTAACATGATACGATTCATCTATTTTACTATAAAATGTGTGCTCCCTAGGTTTTACAAAATGTACTGGCTTGGATGCATCTGACTTTCAAATCCTGTTTTATATTGATTCTACAGTTTAAATTGTACTCTGAATTATTCTTACTTTGTGTGGGGACAGTTCAGATGTCTTAGTTTGGGGTTTGTGACGAGTCTCTCGTTGGTTGTAGATGAAAGAGTGCCTGTGTGGCTTCGCGTGACTTCAGCTCAAGTCGGAATTGAACACATTCCCAGCATATGACATGTGCATGTGACAATGTTGACCAGAAAACCGTGCGGTTGTGTTGATGTCTTTTGTGTTATGGCTGTATACAGGCATCAGCTGTGTGTCTCCGAGCACCAGTCTCTGAATCTCTGTCCAGACTGCAGAGGGACCAGCTTCAGAAATTTGCCCAGTACCTCATCAGTGAGCTCCCCCAGCAGGTAAACACCCAAATGGTTAAAAACAATTGAGAAACAGAGAAAGAACATACAAGCTTGAAAAAAAAAAGATCCATTTTTGTCTCCAGATCCTCCCAACAGCTCAACGGCTGCTGGATGAGCTGCTCTCTTCTCAGTCCACTGCTATAAACACCGTGTGTGGAGCTCCAGGTGCGACAAATAGTTTATAATATAAGACAAATGTTGGCATGTCAAGATGGCGTTATGAAAGAAACGTAACGCTGATGATGCTTTGTCAACTGATTCTCTGATTCGTTAGGTGTTGTGAAGGCGGGGAGGATTTCAGTATAGCCTTCATTCATGCTCGAACGATAAACAAACCTCCCAGCCACTAGATGGCAGCAGAGGAGGCTTTATTCATCTAATTCGATAATCAGGGGATTGTATGCAGAATATCGGTGCCAGCAACTCATACAGGGGTTTGTGCAGATAAATAATAATTATTTTTTTGGGTGTGGCAGAAAATAACATTAGAAACACTGCTGTACAGAAAGTTAGACAATAAACACGTTAGCCTTATTTTATAACATTACGTCATTTTTACTTCAATGCAAACATGTTTTACTAAATCTAAAATTATACACTGGGTAATTTGGTTTTTCAGAGCCACAGAACAATTAGTAGTAGAGCATTTAAATGGTTTAATTCTTTTCAAATAATCTAGAACCCTGACGTCATCCTTCAGATATACTACACTAAGAGACCTCAGGCGACACGACTGCAACTACTCCACATGTCTGAAAGGCTCTGATTTTCCATCAGAAAAGGAATGTTTTTTTTGTATTGTTTTTTTTTTTATAGGATATTTTGACCTGGACTGGACCTATCTGCTGACCTACAAAAATAGATTTACTTTTGCTGCATTTTATGAATTTCTTCGACTACTTGTTGTGAATAATGTTCTAGTATTTATCTTATCAAAATATCATTACTTCACTGTACTCCTCTTTGCACTCTTTGCAAAATGCTCTGCTAACCGTCTAAATGTTTCCGATTGTAGACCCGACTGCAGGTCCGTCAGCTTCCGATCAGAGCACGTGGTATTTGGATGAGTCCACTCTCAGTGACAACATCAAAAAGACCCTGCATAAATTCTGTGGACCCTCACCGGTCGTCTTCAGGTACCCACCGACGGTCCCCACGTGTATTGAGTACATGGACGCTTCTTCTATTTGTCAGAAATGTCAGACTTGAGGCCTGCTACATCATTTTATGCAGCTACGGTCTTTAAAGTCCATAGTAAGGGTTCTATACTAATATTTACTGGACACGATTAAACAGCACTACTACTACTCAAATACACGAAGAGCCAATGGAATATAGCACGCTGGACATAAGTGGACCACTGCTGTAATGCTTGAACGATACGAAGCCTCCAGTCACTAGGGGGCAGCAACTCCTACAGTGGTTGGTGGTACAGTAGCCTGAGTAGCCAGAAAAGTCATTAATCGCTAGCAGTATGAAATTCATAAATTAGCCGCATCGTCGTTGTTTAAGCGGGTGAAAAATGTAGCGGCTTATAGTCCATGAATTACGGTAGCCCTGGTTGAGTATTTGTTTATTGCGTTAACAGTGATGTAAACTCCATGTACCTGTCGTCCACGGAGCCTCCTGCTGCTGCCGAGTGGGCATGTCTGCTGCGACCTCTGAGAGGACGCGAGCCGGAGGGCATCTGGAACCTTCTGTCTATAGTCAGAGAAATGTTCAAGAGGAGAGACAGCAACGCAGCGCCACTGCTGGAGATACTCACAGAGCAGTGTCTCACCTATGAACAGGTACTTCATCAGCATCAGTCAACACCTGGAAAGACATCTACAGACATGCGCATATTGGTCTTGTAGACTTGAACTTCGTCAACTTTGTTTTGTTTTTTTTTTCCCGTGCGGTCAGATCATTAGCTGGTGGTACAGCGTCCGGACGTCAGCGTCTCACAGCAGTGCCAGTGGCCACACGGGGCGCAGCAATGGGCAATCCGAAGTGGCAGCTCACGCTTGTGCCAGCATGTGTGATGAGATGGTGGTCCTCTGGAGACTGGCAGTACTTGATCCAACTATGAGTCCCTGCAGGTCAGCCCATTGGTCCTATATCTAATTGTCGCCCCCTTCTGATATACAGTAAAATGTAACCAATTCAACAATGGTTTAGGTTTGTAAAGAAGTTCAAAACAGTACCAACAAGACTTTTAACCTTAAACCCAAACCAAACTAAAGAGGTAATAATAATGTCACAACAACATTAAAGTTACCAAAAACTTCATAAAGCTGTGAAGTTCACCTATGACCAGATGCTAGATTGAAGTCAGTTGATTTGAATTAACTTTACAGAAATATAAGCTTTGTACTCAGTTCCCACTCTATATCGCAGTTCTCCTTTTGCTCCCTTAGTACATCGCAGATTTTTTTTTTTAATCCAATTTTTTTTTTTTTTTGGCTTTAAAAATGAAGACTCTCATTTTGAAATTAAGACGAGCGCATTTGCGATCAATCGCTGCTAGCTTTGTTTACCTAGACAATATCGTACATACTATTGGCTAATACGATGCGTACTCGCTGTACTATTGGCTAATTGAGCATGCTCTTCTGTTCCTCATGCTAATTAGCTCATGCACGGTAGCATCTCTCAGCATCTCTCCTCATCTGTCAGCCACTCTACTGTGCGTATAATCGTGGGGGAGGTTCGTAAAAAAGGTAAATGTAAACGTGGATAATATAATAACTATCTCGCCTCTACTTCTCCATTTTTCCCATTTCGCGGTGGGTCTTGGAACGCAACTACCATGATAGGAGAGTGATTACTGTATATGCTATGGAACAGGGATTCCCCGAAGTGAGTTAGTCGTGCATGTGATGGTGGTTTTGAGTAGGGATGCAACCATAGGAAATTCTTGGCCAAAACTGAAAATGAGGAAACCGAGGTGGAAAATATATAAGCGGTGCATTTCTTCTTCTCTACTACAAAATGATAAAAAATATATACCAAATGTATAATTAGCAACATGATCTATTATGAAAATGATAACGATCTATTCCCTTCAGTTTACTTACTCAATGTGAAACTTGGGTCTATTTAAGTGAACCCAACACTGATAAACTATAAATTAATAATTAATAAATTTTCAGAAATTTAAAGGTAAAATTACATCATTTTCAATAGCACACCAAATGATTTGGCAAAACTCTTTTCTACTGTATTTTGCTAACATAGAAAGAGCAGTAACGGCAGATATATGTATATGTTTTGCACCAGTTCTTGTTTGATCCGCTGAATGAAGTTATTAATATGGAAAGATGTCTTAAAATATACGCAAAACTAACTCAAATTTTTTTTTTTTTTGTTATTAATGTGCATTTTGACACAGTGGCAAGTCGGAATTTTTGTGTTGTTGCTGAGATATTATATATATATATATATATATATATATATATATATATATATATATACACATACATATATATATACATACACATATATATATATGTGTATATACATATATATATTGCCCTTGTCACAGACCTAATTGAAAGCACTTCAGCAGCCATCTAATCTCAATTACACATTCATGAAACCTCTGATGGCAATGTATTGACAAGCCGTCGTCATTAGCATGACAACATATCACAAGGCCAGAGTAATAATTTAAAAAAAAACACCTGAATACCATTTAAAAAGACTGTTGCAATTACAAACAATCAGCAGACTTAAATGAAATGACAAATGGCAAATATGATTAAAGTGATGCAACATATTTGAAAAGGCCACCAAACACATTAATGCCCCACAGGATTGACAGTAAAAATACTGGCAAATCACAAGAATTGATATTAGCCATGCTGTTAGCCTGGTTAGCCATTCTGTGCATGCTAACTGCACAGAATGACTGAATCACCGTCTTGGTTACCTTTTACAGGCGTCTGGAACTGGCAGGCCAGTTGAAGCTGTGGCATCTGAAGGTCATCGAAATAGTCAAGCGAGGGCAACATCGAAAGTCCCTGGATAAACTGTTTCAGGGCTTCAAGCCCGCCGTCGAGTCGTGCTTTTTTAACTGGGAGGTGGCCTATCCTCTGGAAGGAATCACCTATTGCAGTGCTGATAAGAAGAGTGCCACCTTTTGCTGGTCCAGGGCAGTGCAGCACCAGAGAGGGGTCAAAGCTGCCGCTGCGGCTGCTGCTGCGGCCGCGGCCGCAGGAGCGGTGGGAGAAGCTGCGGAAACAGATGGGGGAAACAGAGCTGATAGTGGAGCCGGGGGGGATTATAAAGGTCGAGGAAGCAACCACCTGTCTCAGCAAGAAGTGGCCGTACGACCGAAGGAGACCATTTTGACCAAGAGGAAAGGACTGACGGTTAGTGGTGGGGGAGGAATGCTCGTTCGCTTGGGGGGCAGTGTCTCTCTTTCACTGGAAGATGGAGGCGGAAAGTGCATGTACAAAGGGTCCTCTGCCTCCGCCTCTGGAGGCAAACTAAAGATGACTTCCGGAAAGGGAGCATCTGCGTCAGGTCCCGGAGGCAGTGGAGGGATAGGTGGTAGTAAGCACGTCAGTGCTAAGAGAAGAACCAGCAGTGAGGACAGCTCTTTGGAGCCAGACATGGCTGAGCTAAGCCTGGACGATGGCTGCAATTTGGCTTTAGGGGCCGAGGCAAGCAATACCTTTGAGTTTCTGCCACCAGCTCAAGAAATGTTGCTGTCTCTGAGCCCACTGCTGAGAGAGTCACGCAAGTATGGGAGTAACAATGGAGGGAGCAAGATTTCGGAAACAAAGAGTGTTAGCCTTAATTCGACTGCGCTCCCTGGCGCAGAGCCGTCTCCGACGTGCTTTGCGTCTAAAGACACTGTAATTGTTGTTATGGACAAACCAAGCGCTGAAGACAAGGAAGCCAAACTGGAAGCGGAGTCAGACCTTAACGGAGATGAAGATGCCGAATCGGCCGGCAGCAACCGTCCCTCCAACTCTGCTGCTGCTGCAACAATCTCGGACTCTGCTCCAAAATCTACAGAGGCGTTGTGTGGCCAAGCGGAGGATGGCCCTGCTGGAGTCGCAGGAAGCGGAGCAGCTGCCGTTGATGGAGCAGGCGGCCAGGATGCTGCTGCTGCCCCCCCAGTCCCAGCTGCGGCAGGTGAAGCTCTGTGTGAAGATGACTACCAAGCGTACTACCTGAGTGCTGCCTCAGAGGAAGGAGCAGACAGACAGCTGGCTGAGAATAACCAGGAGGAGGAACCAGACATATTTGCAGGGATTAAACCTCTGGATCAGGAGGGACGCATGGAGGTAAGGCAAAATACTCTTATTATTATTATAACGTTTGTATTGCTTATTTAGTGGCGCTTTGGCCCAGAGGCTTTATTATTATTATTATAACCTTTGTATTGTTTATGTAGTGGCGCTTTGGCCCAGAGGCAAACTCTCTGTCATTGGTGTGGAAGCCCAGGGTTCACCTCCTGGGCAAGATCGAATCCCGGTTAGGGCGGTTGGTACCTTCCGGTGGACTCACCACCCGCAGGAAGGTTTGGGGGTTGGTACGGTGCAGTGTGATTTGGGTGGCGGTCATCGAGACTGCTGCCCCCGTGACCCGGTAACAGATAAGTGGATGAAAATGGATGGATTGTTTATTTAACTTGGCCTATTTAATTTTCCATTACAAAAAACAATTAAAATCCCTGAAAAGTTATTGAAAAGATGTGGAATTTTCAGAAAAATACCAACCCCCAGGTAATATTATTATCCTATATTTTACTTTATATTTACATTACACTATTGAATAAATGAAATGTTTAAACTAGGGACACATTGATTGTGAAATTCTGGGCAGATACCGATATTCAAAATAACAACTTTTTTGTTATTTATCCCCTCTTTTGAGCCATTTTTTTAAACTGAACTATCCTTGAAAAAGCACAAATTCAATCCGACAAGTTTATGAAACAAAACAACCACGTGACAAATTATTTTATGAAAAATAACTGTCAAAAATAATAATAAGATTTTTAGTACTTAGTGCCCAGGGATGTCACAATTATAGATTTCCCTGGTACAGTTATTGTCAAGATACTACGATTATTATGTTTTCATTGATTTCACTGCTCTATAAATTTGTAAAATCACATGAACAATACCTGTAGAACTTGCATTTATTTCTGTCTACCAGTTGAGCTATGTTTGGGCTGTAATGACTTATGTTGACTGTCAAAATGTAATTATAGTTATAAAAAATACAAATAAACATTATTAAAGATATATGACCCAGTATTTGTATTACCGTATTCTCTGGACTATAAGTTTCTCCAGAGTATAAGTCGCACCAGCCAGAAAATCCATCATGAAGAAGAAAAAACAAGAGTACAAGTTGCACCAGCCAATTGATGAAAAAAAAGTGCGACTTACAGATACGTAGCAGATACTGGAACACAAGCCTAGAGTGCCCTCTAGTGGCTGCCAGTGTGAAAATAACAAACATGTGAAATTAATTATTTGAATATACAGTGGAAGATACTAGATACGAGCTCTCCGAAATACGGGTTTTCTGAGTTCTGAGTAAACAACTATTTAACATTTTCGATAGCTCGTGCTGTATCTTAAAGCCCCACTCAATAGCTTACGAACTCAAAAAAAAAAAAAACAGGTGGGACATGCAGACATGCAGGATTGGCTGGCTGCCACTGCTTAATAACAAAAAAAACAGGTGGGACATGCAGAGCAGTGCTGGATTGGCTGGCTGCCACTGCTTAATAAAGTCAGACTTGAAAGTCCTTTTTTTTTTTATACGACCGTTTCAAAGTCTCAATGCATCCAGTTAACACTTATAACACCTTTCCTCCTGGTGTCTCTTCAGGTGCTGTTTGCATGTGCCGAGGCCCTCTATGCTCATGGTTACAGTAATGAGGCGTGTCGTTTGGCGGTAGAGCTTGCCACAGACCTGTTAGCCAACCCTCCAGACCTAAAGGTGGAACAGCCACCAACGAAGGTAAATGTCATTTAAGGCTAAGCAGTCCGAGGTCTTTTTCTAGTTATGACGACCCTTTTCTCTCTTGTCATTTGTCCATTCTGAATTTCTCAAACTCACCCATCAACATCTTAAACCACGGGTGTCGAACAAAAACAAGTAAAGTAAAGTCAAGAAAAATGGACAAACACTTGTCATGTTCATGATATGTTTTGCAAAACTTATATTACATGAAATATGAAGATTGTTTCAGATTGTACTTATTGTTAATTTTTATTATTCTATTTTATTATTCAGGTAATAATGTTATGATTGTACTGGTCCAGCCCACCTCTCATCTTATTGGGCTGAATGGGGCCATGAGCCAAAATGAGTTTGACTCCCCTGTCCTTTTACATGAAGGAAAACCCTTGCACCTTTTTATATACACTGCCTGGCCCAAAAAAAAAAAGTCGCCACCAAAAAAAAGGGTCATACAGCTGAATGTCTGTTTTCTGATTTATTATCCCGTATTTATATTTCCTAATGTTGCTTTGTTTAGGGTAAGAAGAGTAAGGTGTCCACCAGTCGTCAGACACAGGTAGCCACTAATACCTTGTCCAAAGGCGCCTTCCTCCTCACTGTTCTCAGTGAGAGAACGGAGCTTCACAACCTGGCCTTCAGCACCGGCATGTTCTCCCTGGAACTTCAGAGGCCTCCGGCGTCTACCAAAGCTCTGGAGGTTAGACCGATATCCATGGATGCGTGATCCGATTTTTTTTTTTTTTTTAAAAAGAAATCAATACCGATAACCAATCGTTTTCTGCGTCAAAAGGCCAATACTCGTATCATACATGGAGATGTGAAAGACTAATGAGCAAAAGTGAAACAGTTGTGAAAAGTGAAAAGTTTTGAATTGATTTATTTTGATTTTTTTTTTTTTTTTCAGTTTTGAATGGATTTAGTTTGATTATTTATTTATTTTTTTTACCAAATGAAACACTATCAGCAACTATTTGATAAATGATTTGCTATTTGAATATCTATTTGAATACGCTAAGTTATATTATTTATTGATATTAAAATAAAATCCTCCGGAAGTGAAATACTTTGTTAGGATTTAGTAAAAAAAAAAAAAAAAAAAAAAAGTAGAGCAGTAGAAAGTGCATTTAACTAGTTAAAAAAACATATATACTCAAGTTTCACATTCAATTATTTGTAAACAAAAATAGCGAACTAGTCTAATGACACTATCGCCGTAGCTGTAAAGGTATAAAATAAATCTCTTTATTATACAAAATGTACCTACAATAATATAGTAATGTTCATGTTCATATTCTCATAACTTATATTCAATAAATTGTTATGTTTTGGTCATTTATTATGGTTATATAACGTACATGTCAAATATTCAGAATACATTTTGTGAAATACAATTTCAACTCAAATCTCTTCCGTAAGCCATTATTTAAAAAAAAAAAAAAAAAATTACAAATACAGAATAGGCATGTTTTACTGACAATTTGCTTGTCTCTGTATGACCAGAATACAGATTTAACATTTTATGACGAAGCATTGCATTTTAGTAACATAAATACACTGATTCCTTTATTCCGTCTTACAGTGTAACTTTGTGTTCATTTGTCCACTGTTAGTAGACCTCTGCTGTAATAATCTGATCAAATTGTGTTTTTTTTTTTAACTTGCCTTTGTGTTATATAAAGTAACGTAAGTCTATTTGTCATAACTTACTAGGTGAAGCTGGCCTACCAGGAGTCTGAAGTGGTGGCTTTGTTAAAGAAAATTCCTCTGGGTCTGGTAGAAATGTCCACCATCAGAGAGAGAGCCGAGCAACTCCGAGATGGAAACTTCTGTGACTACAGGCCTGTGCTGCCTCTCATGTTGGCCAGCTTTATCTTCGATGTACTGTGTACTCCAGGTAAGTCGACATCTGGTTAATGCCTGAAGAACAACGTACTTATATATATGAAACCTTTGTAAGTGTCTTGCTATGCATTTTTGATTGGGTGGGCTGATGCTTTTTTTTTTTTTTTTTTTTTGTCTGTGAAATTCTGGGCCGATACCGATGTTTAAAATAACAGCTTGGCCGATGTTTTTTTCTTCTGGTTCTTGTTATTTTTGTTCCATGGAAACATCGCTGAACTATTTTTAAATGTGTTTCAGCTTGAAATTCATTCAGACAAATTTATGAAATAAAAACAGCTTTAAATGTCGGCAGTTTTAGTTGGCATTTAAGATAACTTGAATTCGCACGACAAGTTCTTTGTTGAATGTATTTCCTCCTTTCAACACATTTTTTTTTTAATTAAATGCTTTACCTGTTGGCAAGCTGTCATCCACAGTGACACACTGCTCATTTTTACTGTACCCAAAATAATCCCAAACTTCAAGAAACTTCAAAGTGTGCGCTTCTTAGATTCACCATCTTTTCCACTCCTTTATCCGTGCAGTGGTGTCCCCCACCGGGTCCCGTCCACCAAGTCGAAATCGCAACAACGAGATGCCCGGCGACGAAGAGCTTGGATTTGAGGCGGCCGTTGCTGCTCTTGGTAAGGAAAATAAAAGAATCCTGCCTTTCAGTTGAGTCTATATTTCTGCGCCGTCCGTCGAGCCACGTTAGTTTTTGTTATTTCTCGTCTGCAGGTATGAAGACCACAGTTAGTGAGGCCGAACATCCTTTGCTCTGTGAAGGGACCCGGCGGGTGAAGGGTGATCTAGCTCTTGCCCTTATGATCACCTACAAGGATGACCAGAGCAAGCTTAAGAAGGTAGCGGCTTAAACTAACCACCAACAGGCGACATTAGACTGTTGATCTCCTTGCACGTGTTAATAAGACTGTGACCCAGGTCTCTTAAAAATGCCACTTTCCCTAAATAGAATGTCAACCAATGGATTGCAGTTAACCAGTGTGTGAAAAGACGAAAATTCTTTTTGTCATTTGTCAATCAATGGATTGCAGTTAACCAGTGTGTGACCCTGGTTTCGAAACACTTTTTTCCCCCCCGACTGTCTCCCTCTTTCCCGATCTCTGTCCCAGATACTGGATAAGCTATTGGACAGAGAGAGTCAGACCCACAAACCTCAGACTTTGAGCTCCTTCTACTCCAGCAAGCCAGCCGCCGGGAGCCAACGCAGTCCGTCCAAGCACACTGCTTCCGGACACAGCGGGGTGGGCGGAACTGGTGGAGGTGCTTCCAAACATTCTGCGTCCTCTTCCTCGAACAGTGCTGTTGCGGCATCTTCCGCCGCTGTGACACTGGCCGGTGAAGAGGTAGCTCATCAGGCTGAGCTTAACCAAGTGCAGAGCAGTACAGCGGGGGAGAGTACTTCGGAGAACAGGGAGCACGGTGGGAAACGTCTCCTTGAGTGTGTGTGTGTGTGTGTGTGTGCGTATATATATGTATGTATATATATGTGTATGTGTGTATATATATATATGTATATATGTATGTGTATGTATGTATATATATGTATGTATATATATGTATGTGTATATATATCGAAATATAGTCCGGACTATGTGTGTGTGTATAAATATACACACACACACACATATGTATATATACATATATATATATATATACACACATATATGTGTGTATATATATATATATATGTATATATACATATGTGTGTGTGTGTGTATATTTATACACACACACATAGTCCGGACTATATTTCGCACCAGCCAAAAATGCATAACAAAGAAGGAAATGACGTATATAAGTCGCTCAAGAGTATAAGTCACACCAGTTAGCTAGAGTGCCCTCTAGCGGCTGTCAGTGTGAAACCCTGTGTATAAGTCGCAAACCCAGCCAAAGCATGAAACAAACTGCAATTTATAATCTGGAAAATATGGTAAGATAATGTACTCAACATTGCCAATAATTTTGGTTGTTGAAGTGAATGCAGTAATCGTGTTATTTAATTGGTAAAGATTCATCTGATTATACTAAATCATTAAACACGGATCACATTACATTACAATATATTTAGCAAAAAAGACATTTTAGAGCATGGGCAGAATTATGCACACTATATATCCAATAATTCCACCAACAATTCACTTGTTGCTCTAGAACATGGTCAACTAGTTCCAACTTGAGTGAAAAAAGAAAAGTGTTGGTTTTTTGTTGATATATATTTGTATTTATCTTGTCCCTTTTCCACCTCCCATCCTCTCTCTACCTCCTTAAATGTTTTTACCCCCCCCCCCCCCCCCCCACAAAATCCCTTATAAGAAATGTTTGATTCTGACCTCACAGTATCAGATGGGCCTCCTTCATCCAACGACCACCAGAATGAAACAGCTCCCTTTAAACTGGAGGCTACTGTTCCCAGTAGACTGGCACTCGGGGCTCGCTGCAGTTACAGCCAGCGCTGCTGGGGTTCACCTGTCCGGCAGAAAAAGAAACACACAGGTACACATTCCCAAAATTTGGTCTTTTGTGGTGTTATTGCAATCTCAATTATTATTATTATTATTATTATTTTTTTTTTTTAATTAGATAGGAATTTTGTATACCACATTATCTCCATTGTTTGTATATGTATATATAAGCAAAATTAGTGATGACGTTCCCCAAAAAAATAACAAACAAAAGAAAGCAAATGTAACACAACCTAGAGCAGGCATGGGCAAACTAAGGCCCGGGGGCCGGATGCGGCCCGTTCAGCTTTTTATAGCGGCCCGCGAAACCTTCCCAAATTATAGAATTTATTTATTTATTATATTATATCATTATACTTCTGCCTTTTCCCTGCAATACCCATGTTTCCCCAATAGATGGTGTAAAAAAAATTATAAAAGCATTTAGCATTTTACCCTTTAAGCAGGAATTTTACATGTAATTTATCTTCAGTTCACACAAATGCGCCATCTATCTGCTCCTGACCCAACCCCCGTTCAAATTTTTGGACAATTGTGGCCCGTGAGTCAAATAGTTTGCCCACGCCTGACCTAGAGTATGGTGTACAACAGAATGTAAAACGATGCCATCTTTCATTGTTCACTGCGAGACCATGTTTTTGTCCGCTGCGCTCGGCAACTAGTTCCCATGTAAACCAGTTGGCGAGTTTCAACGTCATACATCGGAATGACGGAACGAGACTTTTGGAATAAATTTGAAAGTGAATGAACGAAATGAGACCTCTGCTTTTAACCTATCACCAAAGTGATCAAGGGGCTAACATAACCGCGGAACGTGTAGGTCGAGGACATCGTAAACCAAGGATCCTGTGTACTGTAACTAAGCAAACAGCCTTGTATACACATAGCAAAGCATAGTAGTATGATTTATACGGCAAGGTGCACTTTTTTTTCACACAGGCATGGCAAGTATTGACAGCAGTGCTCCAGAGACCACCTCGGACAGTTCACCCACGCTCAGCCGCCGCCCACTGCGAGGCGGCTGGCCAGGGGGGGCTTGGGGGCGGGGGCAGCTGGCCAGCAGCATCTTGGGGTCGGGGCCAGGACAGTGACAGCATCAGCAGTTCCTCGTCAGATTCTCTGGGATCTTCTTCCTCTAGTGGCTCTCGTAGGGCAGGGGGTGGGGCAAGAGCCAAGAGCAGTGACACCAGCAGGTATGTTTTTGTTTTTTTTCACCTCATAGAAAGTGGGATTATGGAATTGCTGAATTATTTTCCATTCCATTTTCCATTGTCAAATTATTTTTAGACCTAATTGCATTGGTTCAATTACAAAAAAAATCTTCCCAACATTCAATTGAATTGAATTGCAATATTGGAACAAAATAGTCAATAAAAATAATTACCAAAAGATTACAAATTATACAAAATTTTGTTAATGAGATAGGTGGGCCAGACATACCCGTTTTTTTTTTTTTTTTATGGACTCCGGCCCAAAAACAAAAATCTTATGACCCACCTGAGGGTCACGACCCAGTTTTTGGGAAACAATGATATACTGTGCATTTGACCTTAATGACACACTTTCCATTTAAAAGAGTCTTACCATTGTTACTGGCATGATCTGATACTTGGGGTTTGTATCGGTCCAATATTGGTCCAAATTTCAGGATCGAACATGAAAAAAAAAAAAACCCCAACCATACAGCAATATAGTCCGTCCGATCCGATACCTAGGCCCAAATGTGCAGTGGTTTGTTGTTCGCAAACAAGGATGACTAGGACAGACTGGTATCATACCAATATGTAAAAGAAGGAAGAGGGGCCAGCACTCCAAAGACCGCATATTGGGGTACAGGCCAGGTAGACACAGAGTGACAAAAAGGGACGGGAGAGACTGGACGGGAGAGACTGGACAGGAGAGACAGGAGAGAATTTCAGGAATAGTGGCGCTTTGGAGGCAATGTCTCAGTCATTGGTGTGGAACCCCAGGGTTCACCTCCTGGGCAAGTTCGAATCCCGGTTAGGGCAGTTGGTCCCTTCCAGTGGACGAATCCCGGTGAGGGCAGTTGGTACCTTCCAGTGGGCGAATCCCGGTTAGGGCGTTTGGTACCTTCCAGTGGATGAATCCCGGTTAGGGCGGTTGGTACCTTCCAGCGGACGAATCCCGGTTAGGGCAGTTGGTCCCTTCCAGTGGACGAATCGCGGTTAGGGCGGTTGGTACCTTCCAGAGGACGAATCCCGGTTAGGGCAGTTGGTCCCTTCCAGTGGACGAATCGCGGTTAGGGCGGTTGGTACCTTCCAGAGGACGAATCCCGTTTAGGTCGGTTGGTGCCTTCCAGTGGACGAATCCCGGTGAGGGCAGTTGGTACCTTCCAGTGGATGAATCCCGGTTAGGGCGTTTGGTACCTTCCAGTGGACTCACCACCTGCAGGAAGGGTTGGGGGGGTTGGTATGGTGGAGTGGGATTTGGGTGGCGACTGCTGCCCCCGTGACCCGGTAACGGATGAAAATGGATGGCTGGATGGATGTAATTTCAGGACTAAGTCAAAAAGTCAAATGAGAATGAAAGCATGCATGAAAGACTTGTAAAGGCTCATAATGTTGACTTTATTTAGTTGACGTGTTTGCCGTGGTAGCTGTTGTCTATGTTCAGCTGTTTAGTTTGATTCAAATGTTAAACAATAGTCATTTGAACTAAAATAAAAATAAAGCTTTAAAAAAAAAAACACTGAATGAAAATTTGCCATTTAACGCAAATAACCATAATGGCTCAAATAGAATACGCCAATGGCTTAAAGAAAAAAATCGGTATCAGACATGAATTCGGTATTGGCAGATAGAGTTCCAGTATCGGTATCAAACCTGTATCAAGCCTTCCCTACCTATGGACAATGTCCATAGGTAGGAATAGATGTCCAATGATAACATTGGGCATCTATTCCAACCTATGGACATTGTTAAAGCTAAATAAATGTTATAGTTAAGTATAAAGACTTGACCATCAAGTGTTATTAAAATAGTGCTGTCAATATCTTTAATCGGATCAGTCCCACGGTATTTGTGGATAAATCACAGTAATGAGTGATTAGTTCAGTTTATCGCGATTAATCGTGATTAATCACGATAAACCACATGCCTTAACATGACGAAGACCTGCGTATATTTATTAAATATTCCCAACAAACATGTTAACAAATGAACCTATGAAAAATGCAAATTTTTGTATAATGTCACAAGTGGTTTTTTTTTCATATTTGAATGTTGATTGTACTGATAGTACCTGTAAATTTACCCATTTTCACAAATTATTTTACTGTAACAATTTCCTACTTCTTCTTTTACTAAAAAAAAATAATTGTACTTTCTGGTGAATTTGTTATTTTAAGGTACAAAGGGCGACGACCAGAATGCCATGCTCCCCACGTGCCCAACCAGCCGTCCGAAGCAGCAGCCCATTTTTACTTTGAGCTAGCCAAGACTGTGCTGATCAAAGCTGGAGGAAACTCTTCAACTTCCATTTTTACTCAGCCCTCAGCCAGTGGTGGGCACCAGGGCCCCCACAGAAACCTGCACCTCTGTGCCTTCGAGATTGGCTTGTATGCTCTTGGCCTCCACAACTTTGTGTCACCCAACTGGCTTTCAAGAACTTATTCCTCCCATGTGTCCTGGATTACTGGTGAGGGTGTTACTGATGTGTGTTTTGCCATCATAACGAACCCTATTTGAGCTAATTAAGGGCCTGCATAACTTACTTTGACTTTGTCTGATGTAAAAAAAAAAAGCATCCTACAGTAACACAAAACCTAACATTTTTATACCAGGTCAGGCCATGGAGATCGGCAGCGCAGCTCTTAACATTTTGGTGGAGTGCTGGGATGGTCACCTAACCCCTCCAGAGGTAGCGTCTTTAGCGGACCGCGCGTCACGAGCCAGAGACCCCAACATGGTTCGAGCAGCAGCAGAGCTGGCACTGAGCTGCTTGCCCCATGCTCATGCCCTAAACCCCAATGAAATCCAACGAGCACTGGTGCAGTGCAAAGAGCAGGTACACTTGTCTTTATAGTAAGAAGATCTCTGGTATATTTTTGTATCGAGTTGTACGTTCCAGTTTCCTTCCACAGCCGAAAAACATAGTCTAGTTTAGAGAATCAGGTTGGTCAGATGCTAAATTGACCTTGAGTATGAATGCCACTGTAAATGGTTGTTTTTCCCTCTATATCTGGCCCTGTGATGGACAGGTGAACGGTCCAGGGGCTACCCCCTCCCTCACCTGGTTAAAACTGGGACTGGCTCCAGTACCCACCAACCAACTAGCTGGGGACCAGTACTGGGCCATGGACTATTTGGTGGACAGAAAGATAAAATAATATATATATATATAAAATAATAATAGATATTGTGTTCAGCTCTTAGAAGCTACCGACAAAGAACCTTAGGATGCAAATTTGTGATTTACAATCATTGTTTACCGCTGTCTACCTCTGGGTTTCACTCTGTCGACATGTCGTTACAGGACAATGTGATGTTGGAGAAGGCCTGTATGGCTGTAGAGGAAGCAGCCAAGGGTGGAGGCGTATATCCTGAGGTCCTGTTCGAGGTTGCTCACCAATGGTACTGGCTGTATGAGCAGTCAGTGGGCGGGGGCTCAGGTCCACAGAGGGAAACCTCTGGTCGCTGCGGGGCAAACGGGGGCTCAGGAAGGAGGCAGTTAGAGTCCACCTGTGTGGTTCTTGACAGCAGTGCCAACATGGAGTCCCCTGGGGTAGCAACAGTTACGGCCTCGGTCACAGCAGCAGCTGTGGTTCCAGTCATTTCGGTGGGCTCCACCATATACCAGTCGCACGCCATGCCCGGCCAGGCAATTGCTCACCCACATGGCCCAGCCCTCCACCCCTACACCACCATACAGGCTCACCTCCCCACTGTTTGCACTCCACAGTACATAGGGCATCCTATGCAGCATGTCCCTCGACCAACTGTCTTCCCTGTGACTGGTGCTGCTTATCCACAGGTAGGGGCTCAGAAAAGAGAAAAGAGTCATTTTACCACTTTACTACTATATATATGTGTGTATATATATATATATATATATATAT